AAGCATAATTTTTGAGGTATGTGTTAATTAAACCTGAAGGCTATTCATTGCATGTAGGGTACCCCAACCCAAAGCATATTTATGCTTCCTCATCCTGGCTCAGGGTGAGGAAGTATTATCTAGTATTATCATTACAAATTATAATAGGTTTTCCAGATTTTCTATAAAATACTGAAGTCTGTAGTGATTTTCAGTCATCTAGGTCATGGTTGTCCCAAAGGTGATTTACCTGGAGGCAACTGGACTTTCTTGTTTGTTCTTTGAAGACATTTTGCTTCTCATCCAAGAAGCTTCTTCAGCTCTGACAGGATAGTGGGGAATGGAAGGATTTATATTCCTTGCAGACCGCTGGTCATTTGGATCCTGTCAAACTTGCAGCCCATGGGCCAGATATGTCATGCTCTGACCTTGCCCATACCTGGTTTAGTGAAGAAGGAAAAAGACACAATATGTCCATATTCAGTCCAGAATTTAAAATTTCCCAGCTGCACCATCAATTTCCCCCCTCATTTCTTGCCTGTGATGCTTGCTTCTCTTTGCCTGTTAACAGAGGCAGCTCCGAATCGCACTAAAAGACATACCCAAAACATTTCTATTTGCATTTAACATGTTTAGAGTATATGATTTATGGTCAGTCATTGTATATATTTACATACATATGGCAGTTATCTTTCATTAAAATATGTAATGTGCTATCATACACTGTCTGGGACAGCATGAGGTAAGTGTGAGCTATGAATCAGCTGCTCTTTTGCTTGGCTTCAGGCTGGGCCTAAAATATTGTTTTCCTCAGTGTTATGTAGAGTTAGATGCAAAAGGAAAGCTAGGCTCTTCTATTTTCAATAGGGTCTGAGTTCTGAGTGTTTAAAGTGATCATGACTTGCCCGTCTTTGTAATTAAAAAATACTAATTAAAATAATACATGTCTTCTTCATATTAATTTTGTAGGTCTCAAAAGGAGATTCATCCTTCAATGAATCTTGGTGTAAGTATGGCTGGCCTTTACTTTACTTCCCTCTCTAAGTATTGTAATTATAAAAACTGATGAGTTAGTGTTTTGATCAAAAATGTGTGAGATCCGAACTAAACTCTGCCATCTCCTGTTCTTAACGAATTCTAAAATGGAGGGGAAACAAGAAGGATTCCAGCCTGAATACCACCCCCCTCCGCTTTTAAAAGGCTATAAGAGCTGTTTTAATATGAGGTCAATTTTAGTTGCTGTAAAAATTTCCTGTTTCCTATTTCTGCATTTGAAGCTTCCTTCTCAACAGCTTTGGCTAATTAAAGCAAAGAGTTTTCTGTGACAGACAGATGTAAAAAGGGGCAGGTCTTTTCCTGTCCTTAAATTGACCAATGAAAGAGAGAGGGTGGGACTTTCTGAATTCCTCTTGCTCATCATGTTGTTTGCTATCTGGTGGCCTCAGGAACCTTGGGAATGAGTAAATAAGATTATTGTTGGATAATAGAAACAGAAACTATATTTAAAAACATTATCAAAGCTGTTTTAAAACATTTGGAAAAAGAAATTGCTAGGCACAAAAAGCAGAGCTTTCATAAGTAACTACAGTAGTAATTTCATAAGTAGTTACTGTAGTAATAATGTACTGTAATGAAAAAAGCTTTAGTCTCATAATTTGATTTAGTTTTTTTTAATTTTATATTGCTCTTTTCCTTTGAATGTTCATGCAGGGTCCAGAAGGAGAGCCTTTTCTGTCTCTGCTCCTGCTCTCTGGAACATCATCCCCTCCTCTCACCAAGTTGAGAATAAACAAAGAGCTGTTTGTCACTAGCTGAGAGTCCTGCCTCTTCCCTCGACCCACACTCAACATTGGTGATGAAGGTGGGATGTGAAGAGAACAAAGGACAAAGGAGCTGAATTGAATTGGGCATCCTCATGGCATCAGCCATCATCGCAGTAAGTCAAGAGTTTGCATTGGCCATTCCAAGATGACCACACCCTTCCCACCAGCTCCATACAAACCAGCTAAAGAAGATTGGAAATCGTATATGGATCGATTTCAGATGTTCATGGAAGCAAATGATCTTCTGGGATTATTGGACAATAGGAAAAGAGCACTTTTCCTAAGCTACTATGGACCAGAAATTTTCAAAATGGTTAAAGCCCTCTCGCCACCAACAGACTTACAGACAGTAACTTGGACAACGCTTCAGACCACGCTTTGAGCACACTATGTGCCCACAGCATCAACATTAGTTAAGCTACATGAGTTTTACTGCAATGATCAAAAGGAAGGTGAGACAGTCAATGACTTTGTTGCAACACTAAGAGAAGTCGCAGCTGACTGCGAATTTAGTAATCTACAAGAGGCAATGCGAAATGGACTCGTTTTGGGTTTGAAAGACCTAAACTTACAGAGGCAATTATTAGCTAAGACTGACCTCATGTTCCAAGCCTCACTAGACGAAGCCACAGAAACTGATGAAGAACTTGTAGTCTCAAATAGATTTTGAGATACCACATAAGTGTTTAAAATTATTTTTTTTATGGAATTACAAATTATTTTCAGATGAATGGGCACACTAGAAGAAAGCAAGGACAAATCACTTTCAAATTGTTCTTAAATTAAACTACAATATATAACTCAATCCAAGTAGCTTTAGGAGGTGAGCTTAAGAAAGACTTTACCTTTTAAATATGTACAAAAACCATGTGAAATCTGTGCAGTGACATCTATATCCATTGCATGCTGCTCAATGTAAAATAGCAGGGGGGGAACAAAGTCCCAAATTACATGTTGATAAGAAATTGCAAAATAGATAAAAAAGTAGATTTTAAGGTGATTTTGTTGAACATAGATATCCAAAAATATTTTATATACTTGATGAGGATGATGTCTAGAAGAATGTGAAAACGTTTAACCCTACTCCACTATAGAGCAAAAGGAAAAACTAAAACATAAAAGGTGGCAGAGCTCCTTCCTGTCTAATATTATGATCTATCCCTGCTGAAATTCTGTTTTCTTTTGCTTCCGGCACCATGGAAAAATCATGGAAGTAGGAAAAAATATGCAGTGTGTTTATTCAGATAATCACATTCACAACTTATTAAATAGCTAGTATTTCTGGTATAATGAATATTGGACTGTGAAGTGCAATTTAGCTTAAAATTCCAACTCAGTTCTAAAGTTGATGGGCTGACCTTGGGCCATTTATTATCCCACTTGCTGATCCCACTTCATAGGATTATTTTGAAAGATAATCCATGAGTATTTAAATAAAAGTTTGGAACAAATTTGACAATAAATATTGAAAGATAGCACAAATAGCATAAAAAAACAACAAATGAAAGAATTTACCATTATTAACTTTGGTGCATGAATGCTTCATCTTAGCAATATAAACATGATCCAGCTGAGTTATCATAATTTTCTACTTAATAAGTAAATTAATACCTAGGCCTCCATTAAAATAAATATCTCCACATACATCTATATTTTCAGAGAAAATATATCTGTTTTTTAGGACTTGCATTTTAGCAACCTGATAATATAATCTTACATACATCTACTCAGAAAAATCTTAGATAAATGTGTATAGAATTATAGTTTTAAACTGCTTAAATTTGGATGGATTATTGCTTGTATAAACACATACATAGACATATCCATATCTATCTCACTATGAGTGTTCATTGTTGGGATGGTATGCACTCACATACACATACACATACACAGACAACACACAGACACAGACACACACACGGGAGTGCTGGGTCTCAGTTTAAAATATTAAACATCCATTATTTTTCTATCTCTTTAATTTCAGACATAAATTTTGTTTAGGATTACTGCTAATTATTTTGTATGAAAAATGCTGCAATTCACCAAATTCAAGACATCTATTTCTCTGCAATATATAACTATTAGTAGAAACTGAAATAACCTGTGGTTGTAACATACCTTGATGCTTTTAACTTTTCTCTTCTGCTGTTTCTCAGATGTATCAGTCCTGGACTTCAGATGGAGAGAAAGCAAAAAAGCAGGCATGCTGATGTAGAAAAATACATGACTCTGTCAAGACTGATGGCAACCATTAAAGGGCAGAAAAATGGAACTTATTTGCTCCTGAGAAGTGCAATACTGATGCCTTTTCTGGCAAATATTTCCTGCCAAATATCCCTGGCACTGAATCCTGGCTGCTCTCTTTTCTTGAAAGAACAACTGCTCAGGGTGAAAATGTCAAATCTTTCCCAGATGCTTTGCAGTGGTATTAAGCCTAGTCATGTTCAACTCTTTTGTCCTGTGAGTTTTGTTCTTTTGCTTTCATTTGGCTTCAATTGTCAATTCTCAGATTAAGATTTGCCAGCTGGTTTCTGTTAAAAGAATGCAGGCTGAGATGAGAGAGCAGGGAAAGATGCTGGAATCCAACAGCCTAGAAAATCATGGGGGATGGGGTTACTGTTGATCCTTTAAGAGCCTCAGCTCTGTTCTGCAGTATATTGCTGTGTTAAAGGCAGCAGGCTCTTTAAATGTAAAATACTAACTGATGAATTGCAAGCTGAGATTTGGTTAACCGATGGACTGCTTGCTGCAAAGATTTCACCCTATCTTTACACACACGCACATATACACACTTTTCATCACTAGATTTTGTGTGTGTGTGTGTGTGTGTGTGTGTGTGTGAGAGAGAGAGAGAGAGAGAGAGAGAGGGAGGGAGGGCTTTGTTTCTATTGGCTGATTCTTGCCTTCCCACCCACATCTATTCCACATCACCTTGGTGTCTCCCTAAATAAAACCAGCCCTCCTTATCGCAGCAAGGAAATCAAGCAATAGAGTTGCAATGGATTTTAAATAAACACTCCCCCCCATCATTGCCAGGCTGCTGAGAAGCACGCAGGAGGCACCTCACCAACTGCTACTGAAACGCACATACATAGCTACCTTGCATGCTTTCTGACTCTACTGCTTCTTTCACCCCATGAGTGAGGGCTGGAGTATACAAGAAGCTGGCTGCAGGCAGAGGATAGAATTGGTACTTTTATGACCAATTCTTTCTCCATGGATTTGAAGGACAGCACCAGTGAGGGAAGCCTAGGGAGCCTTCAGCCTTCCAGCCTCCAGATTTTTGCTAACACCTCAACCCTACATGGAATCCGCCATATCTTTGTTTATGGACCTATGACTGTGCGGCGGGCACTATGGGCTCTAGCGTTTATAGCTTCCCTGGGCCTCCTCTTGGTAGAGAGCTCTGAGCGAGTGATTTACTACTTTTCTTATCAGCATATTACCAAGGTGGATGGGCTCGTTGCTAACAGCTTGGTCTTCCCAGCTGTCACCATCTGCAACTTTAATGGTTTCCGCTTCTCCCGTCTCACCACCAATGATCTGTACCATGCTGGTGACCTTCTAGCTTTGCTGGATGTGAATTTACAAATCCTTCACCCCCATCTTGCTGACCCAACAGTCCTGGCTATATTGCAAGAGAAAACCAACTTTCAGCACCACCGAGCCAAGGTCTTCAGCATGAGTGAGTTCCTAGGGCGTGTGGGCCATGACATGAAAGAGATGCTGTTGTACTGTAAGTTCCGGGGACAGGAGTGCAGCCACAGGAATTTTACAACTGTGAGTATAAGGAACAGACTGACTTTCTTATTACCTTAATAATGTTACGGTAACAATGGGGTGTACCTAGAATTGATAATTATATTTATCTTGGCTTCTCTTGGTGAGAGAGCAGATCTGAAGTGAAGTATGCTTAATATCCTTGTGGGAAATTTGGGAGATTTAAAATGGGAAGTCAACCTAAATTAAGGAATTGAGGACTGTTTCCTGGGAGATTTCAACTAGCTTTAGAGATTGGTCTGTTCAGACCCTTGATGACGATATTGCATTGAGATTTCCTCAAGGAAACTAGCTTATTTTGCTGCTGAATGATGATCGGCAACAAAGCAATACTGAAATAGTACAGTACTTTCTGGTTGATATGGTTCATATATAGCCCATCGGTTGATAAGGACTTACAACTTAAATAATGTCAAGCCATAATGTATTTTATGTCATTGCAGGGGTTTCTTTTCCAATGAGGGAGGGCAGCCTGTCAAGCCCAAAATTGACATAAGTGTAGCCATTTTGTCTTAGTATATATTCTTTTTTCTTATTTTCTCTGTGGCAGTAATGGGGGGAAGGGTTTTGGGCTTGACACACTCCTAAGTGGGGAGGAGTGGAGATAAACAGAGTGTTATGGTTAGGTGATCTTTTTTCCTGTGGGAAAGTGCTTGGGCACCTGGAGGTGGAGATTTATGACATCAAGCAACGTTGAATTACTTCTATTGGAGAATGTGACTTTGGGGGGTTGTTTCTAACTTCTAATATTGTGGGGTAATTCCAGGTTGGGTCAGATCTGGAATTACCATGGACTTTGCCAATTTGATGCTTTCCTAAATAAAAGAAATCTTTTTGAAGATGGACTTTGTTATTTCCTTTTAAAATGGATTCATCACTTGGAAACCTGACAGATAATTTTATTCCTTTCACTCTTGGTAACAATTATTTCCTATTAAGTTTTTTCCAGATCCTTACACAATATTCTGAAACTGGATAGCTTGAGGACAATGTTTCTCTGTAGTGATTTAGTGTTGGTGACCTAGACTAAATTTGTGGCCTAGAAGAAGTGTAGAGTTTTATGAGTATTAGGGAGTGAAATATGGAGCCTATGCCATGCTAAATATAGTGATCTTTTCTATTTCATTTCTTCTAAATGTTGTGTAATGGACAACAACATGAAGATGCAGACTGTAAGATAAGTATTGTTTCAGTTCTCATAGGCCATATGCATTCATCATTTCATAATTGCAGCATCAATTGTTGATTTTTAAGTGTGTGAATGAAGTATGAGAATAAGTATAAAATATTAATATTTTGACAAACTACACATAGTAAATACAATATTTTTCAGTTAACTGGCTTCATACATCATCCCAAGCTAAGTAATGGTGCAACTAAATAATGTATAAACATAGAAATTAAATAGATCTAGGCTTGGAACTAAAAAAGAAGTGATATGTTTCATAGTTATGGCCAATTGCGACATTAAAGATGAGGATCGGAATCGAAAAACCAAGATGACTATTTTTTAAAAAATAGTCAACATAGGAAAAAAATGAGTAGGATAGTCTTTACCAACTTTATGTCATCCAAATGTCCAAACTGGTTTAAAATTTTGTATCTGAAGTCACAACACATATGGAGGGCACTAGCTTAAAGAAACATTTTCTATACTAATTATTTTGTCCTATTGGCTTTCTTGTGTGCTTTTTGCAGCATTCTGAAATGGAGAAGTTAAATAAGTGAAGGTGATGGGCAGTGAATATTGGAATAAAGTTTAATTTCTTCTTTGCTCAGACTTGTGTAAAAGTCACCAAGAGATGAGTTTGAAAAAAATGTAGTATTTTTTTGAAATTTACCAACCCCTTGTTTTCAGATTAAGGCAGTGTTTTTTTTCCCAAAGAAAGTTTTGTCTTAATTATATCACACATTAAGGAGACATTAACAGTTTGGCCTTAATTCATAACAGTACAGAATTTAGAATATCTATAAGGTAAAGGCATTTCATATATCCTGTTATAATATATCATGTAAAATAAGGAGTCCCTTATTAGAAGGTTGAGACAGAAAACGATTTGCTTCAATAGGATAAATCTAGCAGGATCAACTCTTTAAAAAGCTTTGTTTGCTCATATAGATTTCCTCCATTGGTCCACTCTTGCCCTTCTTGGTATAGTATGAAGCACATTGCTTCTGTCTGTTGTGAAGCAATCCAGCTATATGTTTAAACTGCATAGTTGAGTTAGATTCAGATTGTAGACTTTTTAATGTAATTTAGATTTTCCATCATAGTACCTGGCTTCGGAATAAATTATGTGATTAAAAAAAAATAAACATAGGGATTACTGACAATGGGCGTGTTGTTATGGAAAGAGGATATTATACTTTTCTGATGTTTGGAAACTCACTGTTGTGATGTAGACAGGATTGTAGCTATATGTTAAGAGCAAGCTGTCAGGATGAAAACTTTGGATCACAGTCATATTCATTGACAAGCCGCTGTTTAATGGACCTTTACTGAAGAATAATATTGCAAATTGATATAAAATAATAAATTCTAAATTGTAGTCTAGAAATGGAAAGTTTATTGTTATGGGTATATATTTATCAGAAGTGAATTTTCCAATATTCCTAACTATCTGTACCTTAAAAAAAACACAAAACAAAACTAATGTGGAGGAATTGGGCGCATTTGCTTGGAAACTGCAGTAAGAAAAAATTGCAGAGAAATGCACGTTTTGATGTTTTCCCAGGAAAAACATGGTAGCATATATATAGGGCCTAGTTGGATAAAAAGTGTTGAGTTGCTTTCAGTGAGTAAAACTTACCACCAGGAAAAGAAACTTTCACCAGGAAGTGAAAGATCTGTTGTTCAGTAGTTCATTTCAAATTGTCATCAAATACATAAGAGGTTGAAAATGTAAGCTTTTAGATAGCAAGTATCAGCCAAAATAATAGACATTACCAGGTTGGTTAGTTAAAATGATAACCCACTATAAATTAACTGTTTATTTATAGGGTTGTACCAGATAACTTTATTCTGCTTTAGGACATCACATGAATCCTGGCCATCATAACAATCTCACTATAATGCAACTGGCATACCCCACCTGTGCAGGCAGAGGAGGCATGCTGTGGATCCCATCAATCAAGGTCCAGCTTCTCTGCTGTGACTCCTATTTTTGGAATATCTTGTCCCTGTCCCAGAGTGAGATCTGGTCCCATCCCCCTGGCCTTCTGGAAGAGCCTGAAGACCTGACTCTGCCAGTTGACTCGGGCCCCCAACAGGGGATTATCACTCTGGAAGTGGTTGATGAACCAATAGAAGATTCCACCTCCCTCCCCTGTACATCTTGCTCCCTTCTTCCCCATCTTTAATTATGATTTGTATTTTTGCACTCTTATTAAAAATATCTATCTTTCATATTGTAAATTGCCCAAAGTTACCTAAGGTAAGATAGGGGACAAACAAACAAACAAAGTCTGATTTCTACATGAAAGATTGAATCACTTCACCTTGAACTGAAATGTTGAAGTGAACCAATCTGATTTTACCAATTTTTTCAATCCAGTGGAAAGGAACTATTAAGTATATTTCAGAATCTCACTTTAGCATGCGGATTGAAGCAGAGCAATTGCTCCAGTCAGATGCTTTAAAGTTTGATGCTCTGCTTTGGAAATATGTTTGAATTGAAATTTTGATTAGTTTGAAATACTCTTTTGCACAGCTTTAATGACTACTAAAACATTTGAAAGTGTTTTGTTCCTGATATTTGTAAGACTGTGTGATATATGTTTTGGAGAAGGAGCAAGTTCATGTTTACTCTATTGTGCTACAATGATAATAATTGACTAAGAAAGAGAAAAAGAGTGGTCCTGTCCCCAAAAGCTCTTGAATAATTTTAGATATTGTTGAAATTAAAAGAGGCAAAATGGTAGAAGATAAATATACATTTGTCTTTTATATTTACAGATCTTCATTTGAAACTTCATTTAAGTTATATATGTATAAAATAGTTTCCTAGTCAGTGCCTATAAAAGAAAAAAAAGCAGTTTCAAAACCTCTATTTAGAGTTATTTAGCCAAACCTTTATTTTCTGATCTTGAGTCAGAATATTTCTTCAAACTATATCTGTTCTTAAACATTACATTGACTTTTAGTTTGTTCATTAGTTATTTGATCCCAGTTCTGCTCCTAATCCAAACATGCTAACCATACCTGATTTAGCCTTAATAGGAAATAACACACTTTTGAGTCTTGGTAATGATTATTGTTAGAAGAGAAACTAACAGGGATGCTTAAAATAGTTATTGATGGGGACACAACTGAAAAATAAATTAGTAGCCATTTTGAATTATATTTACACATTGTCTGTTTATGAATATTACTTCAGGCTTGAATCTCCATTATTATGTATCTAAAAAGCCAAGAATGATTTCAAATATGACATTACAGATGCTAGAATATAAAATTTGCTTCAGTTGAAGAACCTTAAGTGAAAAGTAACTTTTGTGGAATATGTATATGAACAACTCTCAAAAATCTAATTTTGTTCATCATCAAATACGGTGCTATACAAAATTATTTTAATTGCTATAATTAATGCAATTATCAGCCCTTCCTTTAAAAAATATAACCTTGATTCTTCCAAATCAGTGCAGGCCAAATTTGGTTTATTTATGCAAAGCTATTTGAAATCATTATAGTATTTAAATTACCAAAAATAAAAGCCAGTTTTATTTACAATTTTCTCCAAGTTTTCACCACATGCAAATTGGCTCCTTTAACATATGGATAAGATACAGGGCTATTGTGTTGGAATCAACACTTGTAAGATTATCCCACAAGAACTGACATGCCCTGTTTATGTATATCTCTTTATTTATATGCGGAAATACTGCTTGAAGTGACAGGCTAGATAAGTCCTGAGCAATTGTATCAAAGAGTAGGAGTAGGGCACTGATGAGACAGATATAGTGGGCGGCCTGCTTTTCAGTGTTGTGAATTTAATTTGTTAGAAAGATTCTTGGATGTTTACTGTGAAAGTAGTGTTTTA